AAAATACTAGAGCTCTAGCGAATGGTCAAATTTCGAGAACAAAATTTTCAACCGACCAAAAGTTGTGAAAGGTTCAATTCTTTTTTTTCGAGCCAACTAGCTCTCCAGCGCTTCGGACTGGGCGCCGGCGGTAAACCGTCAACCTTGGATACCGCCGGGGAACTCGTAGAGCTTCCAAGCTCGACTTAAGTTGAGAAACCCGACAGCACCTACCAACATTCTGACTCATAGTGAATATTGTTTGACATTTGAATGCGACAAGCGGACGCGTCTGACCAGCCCCGCAGCCCCCCTACAGCCCGAGGTCAGTGCAGAAAACCGACAGCATCTCTCAGGATGACTCGAACAATATAATAGTTTCGCGAACCTAGTTCGGGCAGCAGACCGAGTCCCGAGCTCTGGATTCGACAGGCGGACGCGCATGATCTCTTTAAATCGATTCACATGACAACGAGCACTGTAGCCCCCTCTCAGCGCAAGTTGAGTGAAGAAAACCGAGAGCACTTCTCAAGATGACTCGACCAATACGAATAATTTCGCGATTCTAGATCGAGCAGAAAACCGAGTTCAGAGTGCTGGATTCGACAGACAAACGCAACTGACGATTCTGAATCAGTTTCAGTAAATATCAGCTCTGTAGCTGTCTTACAGCTCGAGTTAAGTACAGAAAACCGAGAGTGTCTGTCAAGATGACTCGAAAAATACGAACAGGTTTGCGGACCTAGTTCGGCTCATAGACCGAGTTCAGACGTCGTTGGAACAGGCGAACGCGCCTGATCATTCTGCATGCATTAGCTGTGCTTACCAGCTCTGTAGCTGCCATAGAGCTCGAGTTATGTTCATAAAACCGTCAGCGCATATCAAGATGACTCGAAACGGCCGATCCCGCCAGAGTGCTTTTTGGCCTTCAAAGTTACCCGATCGAGCTGAGATCGAGATGACGAGCGGGAATAAGATCGAATATCACGGGAAAAAATACTAGAGCTCTAACGAATGGTCAAATTTCGAGAACAAAATTTTCAACCGACCAAAAGTCAGCAAAAGTTCCGTCGAGATATTTCTTGCCAACTAGCTCTCCAGCGCGCCGGAACTGGGCGCCGGCGGTAAACCGTCAACCTTTCTTACCGCCGGGGGACTCGTAGAGCTTCCTGACAATATATAATGTGGGAAAGAATTTCAGAGAACGACTAGTTTTTCAGCCCAAGCGATTATAGACCTCTCAAGATGACTCTAACAAAACAAACGAACAGTTTTCCAATCGAGTATGATGTCTGCGGATCGATTCCTATGAGAACCAGCTCTGCAGCCCCCCAATACAGCCTGAGTTAAGTGCAGAAAACCGAGAGTACCTCTCAGGATGACTCGAATAATACAGTTTCGCGGATCTCGTTCGAGCAGCAGACCGAGTTCCGAGCTCTCGGTTCGAAAAATGGACGCCTCTCATGTCTCAAAATCGATTCCTGTGACGAGCAGCACTGTAGCCCTCCCCCAGCACGATTTAAGTACAGAAAACCGGGAGCACTTCTCAAGATGACTCGAACAATACCAATAGGTTCGCGAAGCTAGCTCGGGGAGAAGGCCGAGTTCAGAGCTCTTGATTCAACAGACGAACGCGCCTGATAATTCTCAATCGATTTCTGTGAATTATCAGCTCTGTGGCTGCCCTAGAGATCGAGTTAAGTACGAAAAACCGAGAGCGTCTGCTACAATGACTCGAATAATACGAATAGGTTTGCGACCCAAGCTCGGCTAGCAGACCGAGTTCAGACCTCTAGATTTAACAGGCGAACGCGCCTGATCATTCTGGATGGATTAGCTGCGCTGACCAGCTCTGTAGTTGTTCTGAAGCTCTAGATATCTTCAGAAAACCGACAGCGCGTATCAAGATAACTTGAAACGGCCGTTCCCGCCCGCCTGCTTTTTGACCTTCAAAGTTACCCGATCGAGCTGATATCGAGATGGCGAGCGGGAATGAGATCGAATATCAAGGCAAAAAATACTAGAGCTCTAATGAATGTTCAAATTTTAAGAACAAAATTTTCAACCGACCAAAAGTCAGCAAAAGGTCCGTCTAGCTCTCCAGCTCCCCGGAATTACTCTCAAGCTTCCAGCAATAACTTGCTAAGGGAAGCTCTACGAGTTATTACTCTTAAGCTTCCAGCAACTAGCTTGGGGAAGCTCTACGAGTCAATTTCTCTTAAGCTTCCAGCAATAACTTGCTGAGGGAAGCTCTACGAGTTACTCAACTTGCAAAGCTCGATACTGATATGGTCGCAACGATGAGAGTATATGCATCCTCTGCTGCTAAACGTGCTGTGGTTGTCAAATAAGATGATCTACTGACCAAAGCCGACATAGCAGCACTGGCGCCGGCGGTGAACCGTCAAGCTGGTCACCGCCGGGAACCTCGTAGAGCTCATTTCATGCGTAAGAGTGCTCGGAGTCGAAAGAGAGAGCTTCTGGAAGCATTTCTCGAACAAAAAGAAAATTGATTTTTTCGTGTCGACATGAAGATGGTTCCGCCAAGTCTTTTGATAGTAAAAGTGCGCCTACAGATCTCATACTAAGACAGAGAGGCCCTCATAGTCGTTTACAGGTGCGCAAAATCTGCTTTTCCAAAATAAATTGTCAAATATCTTCCAAAAAATTGCAAAACCACCCAAAAGTTATCACTTTGTCCTTTCTGGCCCGGTCGACCAACTAGCTCCACGCCGCGCCGGAATTCCTCTAGCTCATCGATGCCGAAGAGCTCTACAAGGTACTTAGTAGCGTCCAGTCCAAAATCCGGAGAGCACAGGGCAACAGAAAGCCTTTCACGCGTGCCTGCACGCGTGCAGGCACGCGTGGAAGCTTGCCGGAAGCTCGCCCGGACACGTTTCCGGCTCGCCGCAGTTGCTGCGGGGAACCTGGAGCGCCGCCGAGGAGCTCCTGGCGGGCACCACCACCGTCCGGCTTCCAATCTTAAACCCTGTAGCTCTCAGCGAGCTCTCCGGGAACATCCAAAGGAGGTTAGTGAAGCTTTGTATACTCAGCTCAAAATCTGGATTGATAATCGATGCTTTGAGATGTATGATTTATCCAAAGCTTCCAACACCATGACATCCAGATATGTATACAAGTGGAAGTTTGTAAAGATGGGTACCGAGAACGTTAAAACCATTCGTTTCAGACTGGTCCTTCGTGGATTTATGGATACTGAGGCTTTTGATGTGGAAACATTCTCGGGAACCGCCCGAAGGCAGCCCCAACGACTTCTGGCAAGTGAAGCGGCATGCCATCCAGAGTGGATCTTAGCATCCATGGATATCGATAAGGCGTTCCTCAAGGGTTTGACCTATGAGGAACTTGCCCATGCCACCGGCAAGGAAACTCGCATGGTTTGCTTCACTCTTCCACCAGGAAGTGATGTGGTACTTCGTACATTACCCGGCATCTCATCCTACGACGAAAGTCGACACTGTCTTAGATGCCTCAAACCAGGAACGGATAAGGACGCTCCAAGAGCGTTCTCTCTCAAACTTCGTACGACCACACGAGCTATAGGACTTACACCGACCAGCTACGATCCTGAAATTGAATTCAGCCAAGACCTTCTGACGGCGCAACATGTCGATGCTATTAACATGACAGGTCTAGAGAAAAATATAGACGACTATGTACAACGTGTCGAAAAGGTGTTTGGCAAATGCAAGCTCAACAAGCACACATATACGAACTGCGCCGTTCGCTACACTAAGAATGATCAAGGAGATGTGATCATGGACCAGGACGAGTATATCAAACAACTACGTCCTATCACACGCCCAGAACTTACAGGAGCGGCGGCCGATGCCAAAGCCACGAAACTCATTGCCGACATGTTCGTCAGCCTGCGAGGAGCCCTCGCCTATGCCCTTCTTACCTTGTAGAGCTCTTCGGCAACGATAAGCTAGAGGAATTCGGGCGCGGGATGGAGCTAGTTCGCCCACCCGGCCCGGACGGACAATGTGGTGACTTGGAGTCGGTTTTTCGAAGATTCTGTGAGACTTTGAAATTCGTTTCTTGAATCTAGATTTTTATTCTGCGCAGTCGAGCATGGCGCGCTCGATGGTGCAATGCGCAGGGCTCTAGCTAGATTATTTCTATCAAAAGTCTACGGGGAACCGACATTTGCGTGACACTAAATGTCAAGCGTGTCAGTTGTCCGCTGCTATGTCAAGCGTGTCTCTTTGAAGCTTCGCTGGGTGTCGGTCTGTCCGCTGCTCTGTCAACCGTGTCGGTTTGCGCGCTGCTGTGTGAAACGTATCCGTTTGAAGCTTCGCTGGGCGTCGGTTGCCCCGCTGCTGTGTTAAGTGTGTGAGTTTGCCCGCTGCTGTCTCAAGCGTGTCTGTTTCAAGCTTCGCTGGGTGTTCGTTCTTCCGCTGCTGTGTCAAGCGTGTCGGTTTGCCCGCTGCTGTGTCAAGCGTGTCTGTTTGAAGCTTCGCTGGGTGGCGGTTCGCCCGCTGCTCTGTTAAGCGTGTCGGTTTGCCCGCTGCTGTGTCAACCGTGTCTGTTTGAAGCTTCGCTGGGTGGCGGTTCGCCCGCTGCTGTGTTAAGCGTGTCGGCGGGCCCGCTGCTGTGTCAAGCGTGTTTGTTTGAAGCTTCGCTGGGTGGCGGTGCGCCCGCTGCCGCGTTGAGCGCGTCGGCGGCGGCTGCGGCGAGCGAAGCTCAAGGCGCATCCTGGCTTCTTGCCCTCGCCCATGCGGGGCGGCCTCTCGTAGGCGAACATCAACTCATTCCTCGACTTTTTTCAAATTGATAATGTTGTGTGTCCTGTTCCGAACTTGATTGTCTCCCCTAGCTCTGAAACAGTTCTTGCGATCACTGGGCGGTTATCATAACTTTGAGATGAATTATCGTTACTGTGCAGTCGATCATAATGCATTAACGGCCGTGTGGCTGTCGCCGTGCCCCTTGTTGTGCCCGTGGCTCTGATCGTGGCTGTAGCTCCGACGTGGCTGCTCGTGCAGTTTGCAGGCAAGGCGCGTGACTCTGGCCGTGGCCGTGACTGTTTCCGTGGCCGTGGTTTGCCCTCGTGGCCGTGACCGTCGCCGTGGCCGGGTCGTGGTCGTGCTCGTGGCCGTGGCCGCGGGCATGGTCGTGGCAACGGCCGTCGCCGAGGCTAGGCCTAGGCCCAGGCCGTGGCCGTGGCTGTGGCCGTGGCCGTGGCCGTGGCCGTGGCCGAGGCCGTGGGCGTGGCCGTGGGCGTGACTGTGGCCGTGGTCGTGGCCGTAGCCGTGGTCGTTGCCTGTGGCCGTGGCCGTGGCCGTGGTGTGGCCGTGGCTGTGCCGTGGCTATTTCCGTGGCTGTGGTCGTGTCCGTGGCCGTGGCTGTGGGCTTTGGCCGTGGCCGTGGCCGTGTGGCCATGGTGGCCATGGCCTTGGCCGTGGCCGTGGCTCTGGCCGTGGCTGTGGTCGTGGCGTGCCGTGGCCGTGGCCGTGGTCGTGGCCGTGTTCGTGGCCGTGCTCCTGGTTGTGGCCGTGGCCGTGGCCGTGATGTCTGTGGCCGTGGTCATGCTCAGGCCGTGGCCGTGGCTTTGGCCGTGGCCGTGGCCGTGGCCGTGGCTGCGCCGTGGCCGCGGCGGTGGCTGTGGCCCTGGCCGTGGCGGAGGGCGAGGCCGAGGCCGTGGTCGTGGCCGTGGCCGTGGCAGTGGCCGTGGCCGTGGCCGTGGCCGTGGCCGTGGCCGTGGCCGTGGCCGTCGCCATGCCGTCGCTGTTTCCGTGGCCCTCGCCCTGGCCCTGGCCGTGGCCGTGGCAGTGGCCGTGGCCGTGGCCGTGGCCGTGGTGTGGCCGTGGCCGTGGCTGTCGCCGTGCCGTCGCTGTTTCCGTGGCCCTGGCCCTGGCCCTGGCCGTGGCTGTGGCGTGGCCATGGCCGTGGCCGTGGTCGTGGCCGTGGCCGTGGCCGTGGCCGTGGTCGTGGCCGTGGCCGTCGCCGTGGCCGTGGCTGTGCCGTGCCTGTGGCCGTGGCCGTGGTCGTGGTCCGTGGCTAGCTGTTTCCGTGGCCGTGGTCGTGGCCACGTGGCTGTGGCCGTGGCCGTGGCCGTGGCCGTGGCCGTGGCCATGGCCGTGGCCGCTGCCGTGGCCGTGGCCGTGACCGTGGCCGTGGCGTGGCCTTGGCCGTGGCCGTGGCCGTGGCCGTGGCCGTGGCCGTGGCCGTAGCCGTGGCTGTGGCCGTGGTCGTGGTCGTGGTCGTGGTCGTGGTCGTGGTCGTGGTCGTGGCCGTGGCCGTGGCCGTGGCCGTGGCCGTGACCGTGGCCGTGGCCGCGGCCGTGGCCGTGGCCGTGGCCGTGGCGGAGGCGAGGCCGAGGCGAGGCCGAGGCGAGGCCGTGGGCGTGAAGTGGCCGTGGCCGTGGCTGGACGTGAGACGTGGCGTGGCCGTGGCCGTTCGCCGTGCCGTGGGGGGGGGGATGTGGCGTGGCCGTGGCCGTGGCCGTTGGCCGTGGCCGTGGCTTTGGCGTGGCCGTGGCCGGGGTCGTGGCGTGGCCGTGGCCGGTCGCCGTTGGCCGTGGTCGTGGTCGTGGTCGTGGCCGCCGCCGCGGGCCGTGGCAGTGGCCGTGGCCTGGCGTGGATCGTGCCCGTGGGCCGTGGGCTGTGGCCGTTTCAGTGGTCGTGGCGTGGTCGTGGCCGTGGCCTGTGGCGTGGCCAGTTTGTGTCGTGGGCAGTGGCCGTGGCCGTGGCGTGTTCCGTGGCCGTGGCCGTGGTCGTGGTCGTGCCCGTGGCCGTGGCCCTGGCCGTGGCCGTGGCTGTGGCCGTGGCCGTGGCCGCGGCTGTGTGGAGTTGCGCTTGTGTAAAAATATGTTTTAATTTCCGACCTGAGCATGTCATGAAACTGCTCGGCGCACACGTGAGGGGAGAAATCCCAATCCATGGGCGACCAACCCGATAACTGGCGGGCGACCATCCCAAGAACTGGCGGGCACCAGGCCCAAATTCCGAATGGGCGACCATCCCAAGAACTGGCGGGCGACCATCCCAAGAACTGGCGGGAGACCGGGCCCAAGAACCGGTGGCGCGGCCAGTCGTCCAAACTGGTGGTACGGGCAGTTGCCACTACTGCTGGGGCCTCACGTCGCCCCTGGGACATAGTCACATGGTCATAGGGCTGAATGCCAAGAAAGACGATGTGGCGCGAGAGTCCCTAAAGACGCCAGGGCCAGAGCGGGAAGTAAGTCGTTCCTGAGGCAAGCGGTTGCTGGAAGTAGTCTAGGATTCGGTGCCCACTTTAGTGCTGGGGCCGATGAGATTATTTTCTGGTGATGTCTAGCTTGTTGAGGGTTCGCAGCCGCCAGAGCCAACCTCCTGGCCGGTCACTAGAACCGGAATGGAGGACTGAGTCGGTCAGAAGTACTGGCGACCGCTGATCACAGTCAGCGGTTTTGGGGATGGAGGAGAAAGGGACAACAACGAAGAAAGTGCATTGTGTGGCGGAGTTGAATTTTTGGCGGTGGTTTCTCTCCCAGCCGCGGCGGCGGCTGCGGCAGTGGCTGCTGCCGCGGCTGGGAGGGGGGACACTATCGCGAATTTTTCGCGGTGGTCTTCCTTTTCCAGTCACCGCCGCGGCTGCGGTCGGGGCTGCGGCTGCGGCCGCCGCTGGGGGGGGAACTATCTGCAATCGGGGCTGCGGCTGCGGCCGCGGCGAAACCATCGTTATTTTTTCGCGGTGGTTTTCTTCTCCCGGCCGCGGCCACGGCTGCGTCCGCGGCTGCGGCTGCGGCTGTGGCTGGGAGGGGGAAGCTATTGCGATTCTTTCGCGGTGGTTTTCTTCTTCCAGCCGCGGCCGCGGCCGCGGCCGCGGCAGTGGCTGCTGCCGCGGCTGGGAAGGGGAAATTATCGCGAATTTTTCGCGGTGGTTTTCTTCTCCCAGCCGCGGCCGCGGGCTTTGCGGGCGGGGTTGCGGCTGCGGCGCCGCTGGGAGGGGGAAACTATCGCGAATTTTTCGCGGTGGTTTTCTTCTCCCGGCCGCGGCCGCGGCTGCGGTCGGGGCCGCGGCTGCGGCCGTGGCTGGGAGGCGGAAATTATCGCGAATTTTTCGCGGTGGCTTTCTTCTCCCGGCCGCGGCCGCGGCTGCGGTCGGGGCTGCGGCTGCGGCCGCGGCTGAGAGGGGGAAACTATCGCGAATTTTTCGCGGTGGTTTTCTTCTCCCGGCCGCGGCCGCGGCTGCGGTCGGGGCTGCGGCTCCGGCCGTGGCTGGGGGGGAAACGATCGCGAATTTTTCGCTGGTGGGTTTTTCTTCTCCAGCCCCCCCCCCCCCCCCCCCCCCCCCCCCCCCAGGCCGCGGCCCGCTGGCTGGCGGTCGGGCGGTTGGTCTGCGGCCGTTTTTATGGCTGGGAGGGGGAAACTATCGCGATTTTTTCGCGGTGCTTTTCTTCTTCCAGCCGCGGTCGCGGCTGCGGCTCCGGCTGCGGCTGCGGCCGCGGCCGTGCTGGGAGGTGGGGAAACTATCGCGATTTTTCGCGGTGATTTTCTCCTCGCGGCCGCGGCAGCGGCCCGGCTTGGCAGCGGTCGGCGCTGCGGCGCGGCGCGCTGGGAGGGGGGAAACTATCGCGAATTTTTCGCGGTGGTTTTCTTCTCGCGGCCGCGGCCGCGGCTGCGGTCGGGGCTGCGGCTGCGGCCTTGGCTGGGAGGGGGAAACTATCGCGAATTTTTCGCGGTGGGTTTCTTCTCCCGGCCGCGGCCGCGGCTGCGGTCGGGGCTGCGGCTGCGGCCGTGGCTGGGAGGGGGAAACTATCGCAAAGTTTTTCGCGGTGGTTTTCTTTTCCCGGCCGCGGCCGCGGCTGCGGTTGGGGCTGCGGCTGCGGCCGTGGCTGGGAGGGGGAAACTATCTCGAATTTTTCGCGGTGGTTTTCTTTTCCCGGCCGCGGCTGCGGATCTGCGGTTCGGGGCTGCGGATGCGGCTGTGGCTGGGAGGGGGAGGAAACTATCGCGAATTTTTCGCGGTGGTTTTCTTTTCCGGCGCGGCCTGCGGTCTGGGGCTGCCGCTGCGGCCGCCGGACTGCGGCGTGGCGGGGGGGGGAATCTATCGCGAATTTTTCGCGGTGGTTTTCCCGGCCGCCGGCCGCGGCCGCGGCTGCGGTCGGGGATTGCGCTGCGGCCGTGGCTGGGAGGGGAATACTATCGCGAATTTTTCGCGGTTGTTTTTCTTTTCCCGGCTGCGGGCGGATGCGGTTCGGGGCTGCGGGTGCGGCAGTGGCTGGGAGGGGGAAGCTTCTTTTTTTTTTTTTTTATTGAGGGGATAGGGTCGCTGTGGTTGTCTTTTCCTGCCGCGGCTCCGGTCGGGGCTGCCGGCTGCGCGGTGTGAGGGGGAAATTGGCGATTTTTTCGCGGAGGGTTTTCTTCTTCCCGGCCGCGGCCGCGGCTGCGGTCGGGGCTGCGTCTGCGGCCGTGGCTGGGAGGGGGGACCTATCGCGAATTTTTCGCGATGGTTTTCCTCTCCGGGCCGCGGCCGCGGCTGCGGGCGGGTCTGCGGCTGCGGTCGCGGCTGGGAGGGGGAAATTATTGCGATTTATTCGCAGTGGTTTTCCTCCTCCAGCCGCGGCCGCGGCTGCGGTCGGGGCTGCGGCTGCGGCCGTGGCTGGGAGGGGGAAAGTGTCGCGATTTTTTCGCGGTGGTTTTCCTCTCTCGGCCGCGGCCGCGGCCGCGGTCGGGGCTGCTGCTGCGGCCGTGGCTGGGGGGGGAAATGTCCGTGAATTTTTCGCGGTGGTTTTCTTTTCCCAGCCGCGGCCGAGGCCGCGGCTGCGGCTTCCCGCTACGGAGGGGCCCCCCTGCGCCCCCCCCACCCCGAGAAAGGCTTCCCCTTGCGAAGGCGGCCTTGCGAAGGGCACCCCGCGAAAGGACGCCCCGCGAAGGGGCGCCCCTGCGGAGGGGGGCACCTACGGAAGGGGCGCCCTACGAAGGGCTCGAAGGGGGCTTTCCGAAGGGGGCCTCCCGCAAAGGTGGCCCCGTGCGAAGGGGCTCCTTACGAAGGAGGCCTCTTGCGAAGGGGGCTCCCGCGAAGGGGGGGCGCGGTGCCTGGGTCTGCCCGGGGGCGAAGGCCCCGGGTGGATTCGGGCGGCCCCGGGGCGAAGACCCGGGGCTTGCAAAAAAAGTAAGGCAACAAAAAGAAGAGAACAGCAGAGGGGGCAGAGACACGGAAGAAAACGGGAAGAAGAAGGGCGAGGGGGGGGAGGGAAAGGGGGAGAGCAGAAGGGGCAGCAGAGACAGCAGAGCGAAGGAGGGAGCAGGGCAGAACAGCAAAAAGGAGGGGGGCAGGTGAAGACAGCAGGGTGGCGGACAAGGGGACGGCGGAGGGAGGCAGCAGGGGCGCAGCCAGAGTTTGGATGGGAGGGGGGAGAAATGTGGCTCTCACCACTGACTGAGGACTAAGGGCGGGCGGCTTTCACGCAGACGACGGCGGTCGCCGCGCCGCCGCCGCGGCCGCGCTGCGGGGGGGCGCAGCGGCACCGCCGCCGCGGCCGCCTGCCGCCGCCGCCGCGACGACGGCGACCGCCCGCGCGCCCCGCTCAAGCAGGCGCGCCCCGCCCGG